AAGTTGGGTGGCATCCTTGCTGTGATTATGGGCATCCCATTTTGGAGGGGGAATCTTCGGTGTGACTGTCGTTTTTCACCAATGGAGATACCCCCACTGCCAATTGCTGCGGCCATCATCACGCATGTACATGTAAGCTTTGCATTTTTCGTGCAAGGGAGGATCTTTCTCTAGCGGCAGCGAGTTCCTTTATCGCGTTTCCTTCTCAGGGACACGCAGGAGGCTCGTCGGTATGTAACCGCTAAAGCCCTGCACTCGACAGGCGTCTGTGGCACGTGTGTTAGCGCCTGAAGTCACAAAAACTGGCTCTATTTCGCGGGGACACATTCCGTGAGGACAAAGTTTGGCCTACCAATAATACCGAAACCCATCAAACGACAGAAGTAAAGAATGGCCACACATGCTCATTTTCAACGGGTGTGCCGCAATCAACGATAACTAGCCGGATTAACCAGATCACGTGTCATATGCTCCCACAATCGTGATCAGTTTTACTCTTGCAAGCCTTGGGGCATTGCCTTTGCAAATGTTATATCGGGCTCAAATCAGGACCCGCCGCCTGAGAGTGTATGTACCGAAAGAAAATCCATTTGGGGGATGCCAACCTCCGCGTAAATTCGCTGATTCAGCATCGCTGACTCTCGTGTCATCGTCATGTCCAACAGCACCTTTAACCTTTGCTCGTTTACTCTTCCTTGTGATAAATCACCGTGACAAATATCGTCGGCGTTGCCTGTCTAAAGCTCATTTGCTGTTTTAGCGGGTTCATTAGCCGCTTGCTGAGTCAACTGCGTTGACCAATCGTGACCCGACGGCGGATGAAAATAAAAACAGAAACAGCTGCTCGGGGAACAACCGTAGAAATAGAATTGATCGCCATAAACACTAAAAACCCATTACTGATCTACCGCGCACTCCTATATCTGGAAGAGAAAGGAGGTGGTGGCGCCGGAGGATTTGCAAGTCACCGTTCGTTGTTTTGGTCACAAAATATATACAGGTCATCCCGGTCGCTGCTCAGTCAGTCAGTCACATTACCTTCCAACCGTGGCCGCAGGCCAACTACCCAAAGAAGTTCATCGCAAAAAAATATTTGACTTGTGCTGAAAGTAAAATACCCCAAAAGGTTACAAGAAATACCGAACAAAGAATAACATACTTTGCTGCTGATGATGCCGTTTGGTTGCTGTCCATTTCATATTTTTTAATTTTCTTGATACAGACTATCACAACGAATGAATCCATCTGAATGAATCCATCTGAATGAATCCATCTGAATCCATAGATGAGCTTCGATTGGTATAGAAGATACAAGGTGTCTACCCTCCCTCAGGTGACGCAAGACCACATGCGCATTGCCCGAAGAGGGACTGTGTGTCTAACAACGCTTGTGTTTCCGCACAACCATCGCGCACGTTGTTATTCTATATTGGAGCCAACTCGAGCGGACAATATTTTGGCAGCGAAAACTCAGACGTCTATGATGTATTTGATTGATGATGGCAGGTTTCGGATGAGAACCGAACTTGAAGCCGAAACAACACCACGAATTGGACATGTTCAACACTGCGGCTGGATGCATGCTCTCAGACTTGTCTACACTTGGCCCATTGCGAAGTGTAGTAAACGTAGGTACTGCTGTTGGACAATGCGATGACACGAAGAGCCACAGCCATGAATAATCGAATGAATGAATGAACGAATGAAAGTGGAGAAGAAAGAGGCAAATATTTCAAACCGTCCTATTTGATGGGTTTGATAGGTTTCAGAATTGGTTCGCCAGGCTTTGTCAGCGCGGAACGCGTCCCCGGGGTTTTGAGCCAGTTTTCGCAACTTTGGCCGTCAACCACACGCGCCACGGAGGCCTACCAAGCTCCGGGCACGGGCGATAATGTACCGACGAGCCTCCTGCATGCCCCTGAGAGGAACCGCGAGAAAAGACTCGCTGCCGCGAGAGAAAGAAACGCCAAAGAATGAAAAGTGCCAAATCTCATGTGTACACATTGGGAAAGATGACAAAAAAATTAGGGATGAAGACTGGAAGACGGCGAACCGGTGAAAAGGACAGAAACAGCGCGCATGGTCGCACATTGTCGCAAACGTCTGGCGTATGCAGCATGGCGGCGCGTCGGCCCAAAAGTTTAACCCTTTCTTCCGTCGTATCATTACATACTGGCACACACACATTTTCATCACTAATGTGCCGCTGAAACGAACGTGATGATTTTGGTTGCTGCCTAGCCGACCCTGAGATTCGATTCCGATTGTGTTCTAGAAGCCAAAAAAAGAGCGATCAAGACAGCAAGATTTAATGCGAACCGGTCAAGAGGACCGAAAACAGCGCGCACGGTCGCACACTCAGAGCGCACGCAAGGTGCTTGCTCGTCAACTCACCGTATACGCTTTCGTCGTATCAAGGCGTATTGGCACAATGTCGCGGTGAAACTCACTCGGCACCCTCACACCTTCATGTACCGAACCACACTTGAATAAACATGGTGCTGGTTGCTAAGCGAACGGTGTATCGAAATAATACATATATCACATTCGATTTTCCCCGAAGTGATTCGAACCTACAAACAAAACAATCAGTACCGGAAGACCGCGAATCGATACAGAGGAGCGAAACCGCGCGCAAGGTCGTATACCTCTGGCGCATGCCGCATGGTCGCGCATCGGCAGGCACACAACCTATGCGCTTTCTTTCGTCGTATGACGAACCAATGACACCAGGTCGTGTTCGTAACTCACTCGGCCAACACACACCTTAATTAACTAAGCCACCACGTCAATGAACATTTTGCCGTTGACTGCTGCCAAGCGCACCTTCACGTTCGATTTGTTGCGACATTCATTGTGAAAATGTTCGAGAAGACAAAGGAGCAATAATGCAACTCTTATCTGTGCAAGAGATGAATTTGGTGTGATTTGGTAAGAAAAATACCAACCAGACAGATTTTTTATTGCCTCTTCCTAACTACGTTTTTTTCCGCCGTCTGATTGGTCGAGCGGTGGTACGTGCGGTCTATACCTCTCCAGCACGCTCTCCCCATTCCGCATTCCAACAACACGGCGAGGCCGCGTTTCAGCCAAAGTTCGCGGCCGATAGGCCCCATTTAGCCGTGGGTGACGGTTAGGGGTAAGGTTAGGGTTGGGGTTTGGTGAATTGGGTCGGCCACGGTGTGTTACACATCCCAAGGAGGAACCTAGGTTTATCGTCTGGTTACACCTAAATAGTCACGTAAATAGACCTCAAGTGTGCGAAGAGGAAAGAAAAGGCACGGTCGCACATGGCCGCACACTTGTGGCGTATGCTACTGCACGCGGAGGGTGGTGCAACTCGGCGAGGGCCCATCACGAGCAATACCAGCGGGGTATACTCAGGATATCGCGACACGTGCGCCTTAGGTCGACGAAACGCGGCAGAATGACAAGTCTCAGCCCCCAGGTGGCAGCGGTGTGCCCCGAACCTCTCGTTGGCAGTGAGTATGTAAATATTCAGTAAACACACAGTCATTCCAGCGTCGAGGAGTGGTTGTAGACTGATTTGGGCTTCGATTTGAAGTGAGTGGTAACTACGTTGTCGCTTGGCTGCGCAGCTTCATAGACGCAATCAAGCAAACCAGAGAGAGCGGGCGACAAAATGGTGCGTGTATAACATCGTCTTTCTGTCCAACATCTCCTGTGCGCATACCGACGACCACAAGGCCTAATCGAAGAAGGAGCCAGCGCGTGCGCGCCACAAAGCAGTCATATGCAAGTGACTTTTAGGTCCGAGAACACCAGCACGGTTGCATAATGCAACCGACAATGCGGTTCGAACTTGCTGAGGGCCTGCACAGCAAGAACAGACCGGCCAAGGGAAATCCATTACAACGTAGCGCCGCTGAGGTTCAACTCAAAGTTTTGCGTGGTTTCGAGCTCCGTTGTGTAGGCGTAGTGAAACGTCTAACAAGCTAGGGTTCTCTGATAAACCACCAGAAAAGGCGGTGAGCTCCGATCCTGACCGGCAGTATCGTAATATGCACGCTCAATACCAACGTCACGGCTACGTTGTTGAGGTTCTTGGGGTTTGAAGCGTGGGCACGGACCCAAATGACAATGCAGGTGTTACCTAGCTCAGCCCACCGCCGAAAAACAGAAGAAAGACCCACGATCTTCAGGGAGCTCACTGATGGGCTCCGTTTTGTGACAAGGCCCTCTCCCCGCTACCATCAGCCAACCCACCTTCCTTGGTCAACGACCACCTCGACGCTTCTGTTTTACAATTAAACCATCTTTAAACGATGTCATTCCGAGAGCAGTTGGCGCCGTCGCATTGCTGAAAACATGATCCGGATAATTCAACCCGGGCTGCACAGAATGCGATGCGGCACATCATGTGACCGACACAAAAACCACAACCGCACCGCCATCCCACTCTGTAGCCCAACCAACGGATGGTCGCGCCATTCCCCAGCACAACGAAATATACGCGGGTCGAAATATCAGTGTGGAATGCCCCCAAATGATTACTTCGGGATGTGGTGATCAACCTTCAAGATAAGCATGGAAGAGAGGAAATCCGCAGCATTGAATACAACGGCAAAGCCCCCAAAACACCAATTTGCACAACATTGACGGTTTTTGTTTTCGCTTCATACAAACACGTTCCGACAAGCGGGTGCAAGCCTGCACGAGTGAAACAACGTTTTGCCAACAGGAGAAGAATAACAAACACTTCAGGCTCGGTATCAGAAAGACCACAACCAGCTGTAACGCGTAGAATTCCCGGAAGTTCCCGGAAGGTGGGAGCTTGGAGGAGACTGGACGGAAACTACGCATGGATAAAGAGAGAGCTAGCCGAGGGACAGCGACAGCAGACGACATAAGACCTTACAGCAGCGTATCGGTCTAGTTACCTTCGTAGTTTTCAGCATCCAACCCGAGGTTGCCCCAGAGCTTTTACATACTTCAGTATATAAAATACACGACATATGGGGAGCGCCATGGAAACTTACTTGAATAATGCCAGACACACTCTGTAGAACACCTTCCAGTCCTCCAGGAGGAACATGTCCCACACGCGGGTCACCAAGTCGTACGGGAAACGCTGGGTGAATGCGGTCAGGAACCACTGGGTCGCGTACATGGCAGGAGTGAGGTTATGTGCCAGGATCTGGTTTGAGAGCTTCTCGCAGTGCTTCTTCGTGAGCGAGTCCATCACAAACTGGAATTCTTGTGCCTTCTCCAGAACACGTGCAAGAACGGTTGCGTGAGGTTGCGGGATGAAAAAGGTTAATTGGTAAATAAAACATACCTGGTACACATCAACGAAATCCTCTTTCGTTATCTTTTGATACATGCCTGTACGTAAACAGGCAGCGTTTGAATTTCTACACAATACATACGTGTACACACACCATGAGCAACGACGATAAAACAGATGGGAGAGAGGGGCCAAAAGCAGCAGGTTACAGCAGTAGGATCTGCGGGATAAACGCCGGAAAAGCAAAACACAAGCGAAGAGTCACAGCGAGCAAAACAAAAAGTCCGCGCACCGCACGTGACATGACGCCTTACTTTGCAGTTGTATCGAAACCAGCACTACCGACGTTGCGGATTGCGATACGACAATCCATGATAACATTGTCCGTGTCTTTTTTTCGTCGTTCCTGGGAGGCAAGCCTTGTTTCATACCGTAAGCTACGGAGTTTCCCCCCCAGGGACGAGATCCTTTTTTTTTCTGAACCCGACCCCCGCGGGGGGAAATTAATGTTCCGCGGGGGAGTAGTTGTTTTTGTTCAAAGCTACCCCGGGGGAAGCCCCCCCCCCCGGGGGTGTGCAACATAATGATGGTCCACACACCACACACACACAGAGTGGTGAAACTGAGATGGATAAGGTTTACGAGCAAGCGTTCAAGAAGCAGAGGGAGGAGGAACGTAAGAGCAACAAAGACGAAGAGAAAAAAGACAGCAAGGAGGACAGTAGCTGGGGGAGTTTGTCTCGTCCCGCGAGTGATTCCAAGAAGAGGAAGGGCCCGCCTTCCAGAGAGTACCCGCCAGCTCGAAGCGCACATCTGCAAATGATTTTTCCGTCCCATGTCATGCATTTTGTGCTCCGCGATGCAACAAAATCGACTCAGAAAATAAGGGAAATACATCCCCCCCGGGGGGAACTCGTGGGCAAAATGGTACCCCGGGGGGGAATTGACATACCCGGGGGGATCTTTTTTTGGTCGAAAACGATCAACCCCGGGGCTAAGGCTGACTCTTATGGCTCCCGAAAGTTGGCCAGACGTATTTTTTGGACGGGCATACCCCCACCCCCCGGATTTGCCACGGATTCGACCAACAGACAGACCTCTCACCACATCACCACAGAGTTCTCCCTCCATGATTGTCGGATCGTCACCAGAACTTGAAGGCTGTACGCACCACACCTGTAGGCACCTTTGAAGCTATAGTGTTGACTGCTGTGGGGTCTGTGTGTGCTGAGAAATGCCAATCCATGTGAGCAAAAGTAACAATCCGTATGGAGAATCCGTAGGAGATTCCATACGATAGTTTGGCCTATACGTCGTATAGGCCAAATTTCGTTCGCATCGTATCAGGCCAGACTATCGTATGGTATCTCCTACGGATTCTCCATACGGATTGTTACTTTTGCTTCCATGGATTGGCCTTTCTCAGCGCACACAGACCCCACAGCAGTCAACACTATAGCTTCAAAGGTGCCTACAGGTGTGGTGCGTACAGCCTTCAAGTTCTGGTGACGATCCGACAATCATGGAGGGAGAACTCTGTGGTGATGTGGTGAGAGGTCTGTCTGTTGGTCGAATCCGTGGCAAATCCGGGGGGTGGGGGTATGCCCGTCCAAAAAAATCCGTCCCGGCCAACTTTCGGGAGCCATAAGAGTCAGCCTAAATCAACGAACTCCTGCTTCCAGGCCGAAAAGGTAATAGGGGGGGGGGGGGGGGGTACTCATAGTCGTGCATGCCGTAGTCGTTAGACCATAGACCTCGCATCCCTACAAAGCCGGGACGGAGCACGCCGGGTTCTCCACCGGACCAGGCTCTCACACCACCAAGCGCGAAGCGCCGTGAGGTATTCGGCGAGTCGCATGAAGGGTGCGCTGCATCCTGCTAAGGGTGTTCGACATCTTGTGCTTACTTCCTTGCGTACGGATGACAGCTGCGAATGACTAAATTTAATTTCTGGTGCGTTCACTTCCAGAGACACTTGTAAGCACTGTATATCTGCCTCGAGGGTGCTTGACCATTTTAACACAACGTGGTGCGATCATCCCCCTTGCGCGGAAGTGGGGGGGGGGGGGGGGGGGGGGGGCCCTCTAACCCGGGGGGAAAAACCCCCAACAAAAGGGGGTTTCAAAAGAAATTTTTTTTCCCCCCCTGTTGAAAAAAAAAAAGGGCCCCCCCAGGGGAAAACCCCCCCGAAAGGGTTGGGAAACCCCACGGGAAAAAGGTTTTTAAATTAAAACCCAAAAAATTTCAAAAATTTCCAACCCCCCCCCCCCTTTTGGAAGCCCCCCCCCAAAAAGGGTTTGAAGGGAAAAATTCTGGGGTAAC